TGAATCCATGCATTCTCGGGAGGGAGGTTTAAAGCAGATAGAGAGGAACTAAATAAGAACCATAAAGCGGTTTTCAAGGAGCTTAGAAGGAGCTTTATAGGAACCCAGTAGTGACTATAAGGGAGCTTTCAAGCAGTTTTAAAGGAGCTATATAGGAACTAAATAAGAGCTTCTAGGGAGTTTTGAAGGAGCTTTATAGGACTATAAAGGAGCTTAAATATAAATTAATTTTTCAACAATTAACTTTTCATTAATTGTTGAAAAATAATTATGAAAAATTAATTTTTGAGCTATTTTTACCATAAAAGACTGAGTCCCTTTTGTGGAATAAAAGCTCTTCTGTTTATAATATCCAGCTAAAAGCTGGATATTTGCCAGACATGCCTCAAATGTTCTATAGTTTTTCTTTTCTCTCGGGTTTGCTATTTTCTTTTGTTTTATAAACATACAGTTTTTCTAGAATTTTTGGTAAGAAATGAAGACCATCATTGTTAAATCACTCTCAGACTCAGACCCAAAGCTCAAGTTCAAGGCTCAAAGGTTTGCTATTTTCTTTTGTGTTATAAATTTGATATCATATAATTTTTCTGAATTTCGTACTTTTCAACTGTTGCTATAAAGGGGCTTTCTAGGAACTAAATAGAGACTGTAAAGGAGCTTTAAAGGGAGCCTTTAAGGAGTTAGTTAGGAACTGACGAGGATAAACGAGCCAGGGAGCTTTAAACCCCCTCTCTACCCTCTCTTCTCTTTCCTACTTCCCTAATTCCAATTAATGCATTGGATTATTTTCTTTATTTCCCACAAACGACTTGTGCATAAGTGTGTCCAGTTTAATTCAAAGATTCCATAACCATCTTCAGTTCCAATTCTGATTTCTATATATAGGCACTAGCTTGTCTGCTCTCCTTCCCTTTTCTCTCATCTTCCCTTCCTCCTTCCCCAATCCCAATTTTTGTGAAATAAAACTCAAAGACAACTGCATACACAACCCCAATCCAACGAGCACATCAATTTCTATTAGGTTTTTATTTTTATCACATACCTGAATATTGACGCTTGCTAATCGAAAGTTGAAGGCCTAAAAAGCGGAAACTTGACTTGAAAAATTAAAAATTCTACCTTTTTGTTATTCAGAGTTGGCATTTAGCAGCGATCCCGGTTCACAGATGACAACTACGCGCCATTTGGGAAGGAAAATAGTTATCAAATCTTTTTAGAGAAACTGGAAACAATTATGTACAAGCGTTTGTTTGATGTTTAAATCGCAAGCGGAGTAGAGCACTAGTTTTGGACGTAGATTGACTCTTTTAAGTTCTCACTTTTCACTTGTAGGGTGCATTCCCGGTCGAGGCTGTGAGGGGAAATGTGCGTGTGGACCGGATCAACCGAAGGTCAAACCGAAGGTGACCTAGCACTAGTTGCTGATTTTCGCCCAATCGGGAGCCGATTGGGCGTGTATTTCGATATGTTTATACAGTATGTGTAGAAGTTGTTTCCAGGGCACTTGGGAAGCATATTTTGAGTCAAACTACTTAGAAGATTTTGATATTTAAATTCTACCCTAAAAATCTGTATTTCTCAATTTTCAGCTCCGACCCGAACATCGCGCCGATGCACGGCAACCACAATATGGGCTATTCAGAAGGAACTTTGCTTACCATTTAAACAACCAACAACTTCTACATAACGGGTGTCCAGTTTCATTCAAAGATTTGATAACCAATTTCGTTACCAATTCTGATTTCTATCACGCGCTTGCCTTATCCCCTTTTCTCACATCTTCCCTCTCCTCCCTCTCGATGTAAACTAGCGTTTTGAGTAAAGTTCTCTGAGAAGAGCTTCTTAGAAAACGCATTAAACAAGAGGAACACACTTTATAGATATATCCATTCCATTTTTTTTCCTTATTTAAGCCCCGTTTTCTTTAGTTCCTATAAAGCTCCTTCAAAGCTCCCTTAAAGCTCCTTTGTAGTCCTTATTTAGTTCCTATCCTTAGTTCCTATAAAGCTCCTTGAAAGCTCCTTCATAGTCCATATTTAGTTCCTACAATGCTCATTCAAGGCCCCTTGAGGCTCCTTTATAGTCCCTATTTAGTTCCTATAAAGCTCCTTGAAAGCTCATTGAGAGTCCTTATTTAGTTCCGCTAAAGTTTTATTTAGCCGATAATTTTCTTTTCCTCTCTACAAATAACATCGAGATGATTCACTGATCCACTCATTATCTTAAAGATTTCGATAATATAAATCTAAAATTATCTAGATATTAAAAATCGCTTCTCCTTTAAGGTTCTTATTTAGTTCCTATCTTTAGTTCCAACCTCCTTGAAAGCTCCTTCATAGTCCATATTTAGTTCCTATAAGGCTCCTTCAAAGCTGCTTGAAAGCTCCTTTATAGTCATATTTAGTTCCTATGAAGCTCCTTCAAACTTAGGGTTACTTCACTGTCGGAAATAGAAATTTTGCCTCTTATCTGCATAGATTTGGTTTTTCTCTCTAAATTTTGTTTGTTTGGTCGTCATGATGATCTGCCAAGACCACCATAACGATGAATTTCTTGGACTTACTTTTGTTTTTTTAAAATTCAATGCAGCTTTTGTTTTAATACTTGCAATTATATCTTTTCGATTCAATTAAAATTTTATCAAGTTTTTGATACAAATTCTTATCGCTTTCAATTCGTTTTCAATTTCCCTTTGTCGCTTTGGAGTGTCGTTTTGGATTCACATACCTGAAGATTTCCTAATTTGCTAATGCTAGTTTAGCTGTCCAAATGAGTACATAACTCTATTAGAAGACTGCTACCAAATCATGTGAACTAAAAAGTAAAATGAATTAGACCTAGATAACGGGGATTAGGCTTGGATTGGAAAGCTCACAGAAACAATTTACAAAACAAGAGTTATTGCTTCAGCCTTTATTTGCGTCAGCTACCAAGCAACCAACGCACTTAGATCGAGTTTTTGATAAAATTTTAGGAGCCGAAAGGATCAGCAAAGAAAGACTAGTTTTCAATTCAATTCACCCAGAGATTAAATGCCTTTTTCAAATAAGTAATCCTTCAAATAATACTTTAGTTCATTATGTTGACCTTGGCAATATCAAACGCATTGATTTTTGAAATGAAATCTTATTCACGAAATGTTATTTATTTGTTAAGACTGTTTGTAGAATCTAGAAAGTCTACAGGCTAAGGCACAACCTTAAGAAAAAGAATTGGGAAACAAAACTGAAGATTATTTGAACGATCTAATTGCTAATTTAGAAGCTCAAAAAAGAGGAAGATTTGTAGAAGCAATACTAAAGCAAAATTATTCCCAACATTATAAAATCGGGGGAAAATGCTACCTTTTTGATGCTACCATTTCCATTTGGAAAATGCTATCATTTCCTATAAGCGAGCCAATCTTTATGACACAGCTACGGGAATTCTCGAATTTCATGGAAGTTTGAGCGTTTTCACTAGTATAAATGTAGTGTTGAAAAGGATATTGGCCCCTTAGTCACAATCTACTGATTGGATTCAACTGGGGTTTTTCTGAGCGAAAAATCAGATCCTTGTAGGATTTCTGACCATGCAGAGTAATAAAAGTTTTCGAGATTGCGAAAGACGGTTTAAATCAACTTAAAAAGCATATCTTAGCAGAGCGACTTGTTGGCATGGTCTAACGTCTAACAGTTGAAAAGTACGAAATTCAGAAAAACTATATCGAAATTTAAAAACAAAAGAAAATAGCAGAACCGAGAGAAATCGGGTGGCAGAGGCGGTTGTTGTGGGCGAGATGCACGGCCACCTTCTCACCAGAGTAGAGGAGTAGGAGTAGACCTAAAAATAGATGATATCTTGATCTCACTTAAATCTAAAAACCCAAAAACTCACAAGAAATATTGTGTCTTCACCAAATTACGATTTCGCCGGCCAGCTGATCGATGATCAGCGAGAAGACTTTGCGCACGTTTGTGGGATCCATTCCTGAAATTATGAAGTTGGAACGGTTTTGAGCCTAAAATTATGCAGACCCACCATAATTAATCTCATCCACGTGGCAAAAAGGTCCTTTTCAATTATTTTATATATGTCGTAGTCGATTAAGGATTTCAGCCGAAGAAGTCTCAGACTTCTTCGGCTAGCCGATTAAGTCTCAAAATTGAAATGTTGAGTTATGTATTGATTCAAATCAACGCGACAAATTCAAGCTCTCTAAAGGGCGCTTGAAAGCTAACGCATTCTAAAGAGCGCGCATTTTATCATCATGTAACCAACATTTCATTTTTGCTATAAAAGGGCCCTTTTCGTCATTTTCTATCTGATCATTTTGAAATAGAATTGTTTTGTAAGTCAATTTGCCCCTTTGTTGGATCATCGATAAAACTTGTTTGCCACTAATCTGTTTATAATTGGACATAACCCCTTCCCTATGTTTTCTTTTTGTTACTGTGCATTCTTTGTTTATACTACACTAATTTTTGTTTTTTAGGAATGGAGAAAGAATTCCACCGACAGTTTTCTGACTTTCAATCAAATCAGAAGTGAAGAGAAAACTTTCGAGCGAGAAATACGCAAAATCGTCATCGTTCTCCAACAATTGCCGAATGAAGACTTCAAGCCATGGAAAAAATACAAAAACTTATGGCGCGATTCTCTCTTCGAAATGAATCAAGAGGTGCTTTACAATCATGGGATTAAAGGCGATTTGGACAAACCAAAGAAAGTCGTTAAGGCAGAGGAGGTCCTTGACCTGTTAACGACCACTCACCAACGACTTGGGCGCGCCGGACGAGATATAATGTGGCAAGTACTACGAGACTATCATGGGATCTCAAAGGAAATAAAACTTTTGTCAAGTCGTGCGCAGAATGCGAGCTCAAAAAGGAACACCAAAGAAAGGAATGGTCAATTTGAAGTTTTCGATCATCTAATGGAAATATTCACTAAAATCATAAAATAGAAAGAATTCCAGAAAGGACAGAATGGCGACGGCCTGGTGAAAACGGTGCTGGTCAACACGTTGACTCTTCAATCATTGTTGGCAGTTGCGTCTGGAAAATGATTCTTAAAAAGTCAACATTTGCCAAAAATAAAGAAACCGATAAAACAAATGATACCTTGGTTAGATCGACGTTTTGGCGGAGAATAGCCACGCAGCGTGCCCAGCTTCACCTAGATTTACAATTTACTCGGATGCTTTTTGATCTCGATGATAGCTACCTGAATACATAACTTAACACCTAACCGTTTCAGGCGTAATTAATTTTAATAAAAACAAGCTTTTGAATCAGGCTTAGTCTTATTTTAAAGTTGGATTGTTCTTGAACAGGGCAACCAGAAATGCGCGTAGGTGGATGGACCTGGGTTCCATAGAAAGGCCAGTAATCAGGGTGGAAAAGTTTATGGTTCTTGAAAAGAAGCTTCCTTTCCTGTGCTAGTCTTGCAGCGATAAAACTTACATGATACATACGAAACCTGAGGAACATTTTCCTTCGAAAATTCTTGGAGAAGAGGCAGAAAAGAACAAAATTCGATACCTAGATGAGAGTTTTTTTGAAAGCAGAGGCACTGACCTTTCCCCACAGCAGAACCGAGTTGATGATATTTGACGAAATGTAACGAATTTTTTGATTTGGCACAACCGGTGCCAATGAAAGAAACTGCCAGATTGATTCAGCCAAATCCCACACAAATGGTAAGCATGAGGGAAACTAGAGAAATTTGTCACGACTCATTAAAAATTAGATTGCTCGCAAAGGGAAAATTCAAGCAGTGGGAAAACTTTTAGACCATCTCAACTCACATGTGTGAAGATGTGACAGGTGATAATTGCCACCACTGTTTGCGTCACTTTCCGTTCTTGCCTTTGGCGGATTCCGATCTCAGTGCGGTTTCTATAATTGAAGAATCGTGTTAGTCGTCCAAACTTGCCTGACCTACAATTCAGCTTCAATCTTCAAGTTCAAGTTAAATCAAAGTTTCGCGTCTTTTATGTTGTTGATAAATGTCAGAAAACTCACTCACCGCTTCCTAAGTATCCGAATAATTAAGAGATTGAAGAGCTTTCAGGGCATATTAAGTAACGGCAACAATAGAACAAATCGGACATATTATGCGGCGAAACACTACGCCGATCGAGTCAGGGCGAGTCGGGGAATGGCTTGGCTTAGATTGGCTTCCCTATTCTATTCATTCTTTTTTTACAGCTACATACCTTGGCTTTGAGTTTAAACTATTAGTGTTATACATTTTCTGAAAGGTCTTTTTAAGGCCGACCAAGCGGTAATCTTATTATTTAGTGGTAAAACTAGGAAGATGCAGACTCGGGAAAGTGACGATCTTTTTCAAATATTATATTTCATTAGTGTAGATACCTGTTAAACGAGTAGATAAAGACTAAGGATACGCATTTTTTTAACGCAAACCTACGAACTCGAAGAGATTTTGGCGAAGAATGGCCTAAAGGGGCCCACCGAAAGTTCTTCCTCCACTCCCGGCCATCCCCTCCGCCCCTCGATCAATCAAAGAGATCCAAGGGAGCCCAAATCAAACCCCATGCGGATCACTTGTAAGCGATCGCTCAACTCTTCTCTTGACTCCCCTCCCGAAGACACACAATGACACGCCAATAGCACCTGAAATTTTGCTTGATTTGGACAGGTAGAAATGAATGAGTCACTTATTTAATCTAGCTGCCAAGATTCGACAGGTTCTAGACCAACGGGGCTAGCCTACTTAAAGGCAAAATCTACGGTAGTCCAAAAAACAACTTTTTAGCCGTTTGAACAACCCACCGAAAAGGATCAAGATGATCGACAGTAACACACGCGAATTGCCCCACTGTAATCGAGCGTGCATCGGCGACCGAATGCCGCTGAACCTGAGATACAAGGCAGAATATCTTTAGAATAATGCAAGTGAAACACCACAAAGTAATCTAAAATTTCTAATCAAAGAAGCAAAAGAAAGCGAAATCTCACACATTAGCCCCTCGGCAAATCCCTTAGCGGTGGTCCGTATCCCTGGGGATTTAAAGGCAGAAGTGTAAAAATGAAAATACTTTATACTTCTTGATCTTTCGATTCATTTTACCAAATCTTTCCCTATCTAACGAACCTTTAGAACGAGACAGCCACGGCTAACCACGAAGCAGACGCCGAGAAAATGTTTGACATTGAATGAAAAAAAACATGGGTTTTATAGAAAAATTCTCTAAGATAAACTTTGGTTATCTCACTTCTTATTTCTTGCACCGAAATGGCGCACTTCGGTAGAAGGTTGGGTAGATGTTGAGAGCGTATGGGAAATGGCAAACCAAAAGAAGGATGTCCGCGAGTGCCATTGCTGCGAGCAGGATATTTGCCTGAAACTCCGCCATTTATCATTCTTAAAAATATTAGCGATTTAATTATTCAATAACCTTATCTTATCATGGATCTAAAGAACTTTTAATGATCTTTTAAAGTAAGATCGTTGCTGACCTTTTCAAAAAAAATTTCCGGAAAGATTCCCGGGTGACCCGGAGGGAAAAAATCTATGGCTTTTTTCAAATTTCAAACACTACTACCTCCTAGCGCTAAATTTGAACTAATTTAGGCCTTCCTCGGATTGGTCTTTTTCTCTTTAGGTTTGTAGTATTTGTCTCAGAGAATGGTGCTTTCATAGTTGGTTGGTGAAAATTGCAGGGCTTTGAATTAAGGCTAAGACGATGCACTAAGAGCAAGTTAATGATACAAATCTTTTAATGATAATTTTAGCGGTTCCTATGTTTGGCCAGTAGCTTCCAGCCAAATTAGTTGACAAGCCAGATTTAACAAGAGAATGACCGTTGAATTAACACATTATTAAATTCTGGAATTCTTCGCCTGAAACCCACTAGAAGCAATTCTATTTTCTAAAGGAAATTTTAGTCAACCGAGGTTTGAATATTTGCAGTCGTTATTCAGCGGAAATCTTTACAATTTAAAACCTTTTCACAAATTGTAACTTTCGCCATCAAAAATATTTTCGGGATAAAAAAGCCACGCGCCGCCATCAAAAATCTTTTGGTGGCCAATGTAGAACTACATAAAAACAATCGTAGCGTCAAACCCTTGGCCGAGAAATCGTTTCACTGATCTGAAGCTTTTGAGCTTCAGATCAGTTTCTATAATACTTTCCTCTACTTCATTTCTAGCTAGTAAAGTGGAAGTGAATTTTCGGCCATAGCATCGGCATCTTCAAGTAAATGTCTGGTCAGAATTGACTCTTGAAAAATATTAGGATCAGAAGAGTCTCGAGATACCAAGACTCGAACGTAGGACGCTTTTTTCGAAAAGATTATTTAAAAACAAATCAAGCCAAGAAGATCAAGCTTATAAGTCAATAAACCATCTAATTAAACTCTTAAATTCAAGCAAAAATAACAAGGAAAGTAAGGAGAGAAAATTGTTAAGGAAGTCAATTGATCGAATTAGCCTTAATCCTTTCGCATAGATAGTCGAACTTTGACTGAGATTTTCACCATTCATACACTGTACTAGGATCTTGTTAAATAGGCATTGAATATGATCCTAGTGAACGGTAACGTTCTGACGGTAAACCTAGATTCTGAGTTTTGATCGGAAGTTTTGATCGGAACTATCATTCAACGCTGTGTTTAAGAGCAACTACAAGTTGATCGATAAACTATACGTTGAGATACTGAGAAAAAAGAAAAGTTATCAAAAGTACAGTCCTAGCTTTTTAGCTTTTTTCCAACAAAAATTTTTTTTTCTAAAAATCTTTTAAGAACACTTTTCTAGGCATAATTTTGGCCCAGAAGTTCGAATCCGTCCAAAAAATCAGGGATCACCCAACGAAAAAACTCTCTTATACAAATTGCTTTTTAAATTTGCTAATTAAAATTGCTCTAAAAACCCACCTCTTAAATTCGTGAAATTCAATAGCTTTTCCTTGTCCTGAAAATTTGAAATCATTCATTTAAAACCTGTGGATTTTACATGGTAAAAAGAATAAAGCCAAAATCTACTGGTTTTCCACTGGATTTTTTTGCTATTACTAGGCTCATTAAAAATTTGATTTTTAATTACGTCAGAAAAGGAAAGTATAGAAAAAAACAGGTGTGATTTTAAAGGAAAACGTCTGGAATGACTTGTGATAGAAAGAAAAGGAAAGCTTCTAATGAGAAAAAGGAAGAGATTATCGCATTGTCACAGACTCAATTTTGAGTCTAGACCTTGAAATTCCCATTGTATTGGATGGAGGATTTGAGGAGAACAAATGAAAGAGCTGGGGAATGCTCGGGTTTTGTTCAAGCTCAGGTTCATTTTTCGTTCGATTAAAGTTAGAGAAATAAAGAAGACAAATTAATATGCAAATTAGCTAATATAATAGATTTTATTAATGCGTTTTCGCACTTTATTTCTTTCTGAATAAAGTATTTATATAAAGGATTTATCTATAAATGATTTATTTATAAATGATATAAATTATTCCACTAGCATTTAGAAATGAGAAACAAATTCGCACGGAAAACTAACGAAAAGCCATTTTTTGAAAACGTGAAAACATCCATTTTTTGGCTCTGCTGCCCTTTACTTTACTAAAATAGCTGTAAAATCTTTTAGAAAAGAGATATCTCAAGACGGTTTTTGTACCCATCGATCTGTATTGGATTCATCTTTAGCATGAGCTATAAAACGTATAAAAGATATCAAGGGTGAGAGAATTTGAACCGAGAAAGATTGAAGAAAAAGATCACCAGAAAGGCGAGAGTTCAATATTATTAGAGATTAATGTTTTCAAAAATGAACATGTTGCGGGCTGTGCATTGGCAGATGAATGGGTGGTGATGGCCAACAAACAGATGCCAAATTTGTTTTCCGCTGGGGCTTGTCTCAGTCTTAAAGCGAAAAGTAAAATCTATTAGCCTTTAAACCCCTTTTTGGTCCCTGGCTCTCGTTCTTCCCAAATCCAAGCGTTCTAATTAAATCTCGCGCTCTAGGGCAATATCCGTCAATGCCAATGGCTTCATGGTAGTAAAAAGGCATCCTCAGACAAGAATGTGTTATTTGTTCGAAAACCATCAACAATGCGCCAACAACAAAGTTCGGGGATGCCTTAAAATTATTTTACTGAAAAGTCATGTATTAAAGGTAGTGATTATTCCAAAGGTAGTGATTATTCATAATAATTGAAAGATATAAATCCAGTGTTATAGATGCGATCCAATATTACAAAGCCTGACACTAATCAAAGCATTTTCAGTACTGAAAGCATTTTCAGTACTGAAAGCATTTTTAGTACTAAAAGCATTTTCAGGCCTGAAAACCGTTACAGTAATCAATGCTTTTCAGTGCTTTTCAGTGCTTGTCGCAATGTTTTCTAGTAAATCAAAGCATAACTAATACAGTAATTTCGGCAATGAAGATGCCTAGTCAACTAAATCAAAACTAAAAATTATCAAAAAATCATAGCGACATGTTTTCGTTGAGTCTTTGAACTTGAATATAAAAAGAAGAAGAAAATGAACAAGGTCACCCGTGCGGCGCAAATTTTTTGTAGTCAAATTCATCTTTCTCTGAGAAAGAAATATTTGCCTTTTCGATTACGATTACGTTTTAATTTTATGGCAAAGTTTAATGGTGGTGGCCCATTAAAAATCTTGGGGTAGACCTTGCGCAACTGGGTCATTTGTATAACTGGGTGATTTGTGTAACTGGGCCATCTGCGTAACTGGGTCGCTTGCGCAAGCTCAACACTCAAATCCTCCATTAGATCTTGATGTGACAAACTGTAGATGTTCAGTCTAGATCAGAGTATTCAGTCTAAACTGTCTGGATTAGGGTATTCAATCTAGAATAGGTCCAAAATTCAATCCAAAATTGCTAGATTACGGTATTTAGCTTAGATTAGGGTATTCAGTCTAGATTAGGGTATTCAGTCTGGATTAGAGTAAATGTAGATGTAGATGGAAGCAATTGAACAAACCTATAGGAAACTGTAGATGTAGGATAGAAGCAATAGAAAACAGCAATAGAAGATGTAGAGTAGAAGCAATCGAAAAAAGCAATTGAACAAACTGTAGATGTAGAATAGAAGCAGTTGCTCTATAAATCCGTAAATCGACGGCTTGATGAATCGGTGAAGTATTCGGACATCCTCCATATCCACACTCGTAAGGCTTCTAAATTGCGGCACTTTGTTAAAATCTTCTTTTATTAGCTCACCGCATTTGAATGGGTTAGTTTCGTGTGTTTGCGTTCACTTCTATGATCACTCACGCAGTATCGTTTGGTGGGAGTGGAGAGGAGTCTCCTCCATCCGCCGATCACTCCCCCACCGTCCCTGCCAATCCCCGATCGACTCCTTGTGGCCATCATCGACAGAATCACTGACAGAATCACTGCTGATCAGTTTTAATGTATTAGTAGTTGAGTGAAGCTAAACTAGTCAAAAAAAAGTATTTTTTTAGTCTTTTGTAAATGAGATAAAGCTTATGCTTAAAATTTGATTTCCATAAAGAGATTTCCATAAAGATTTCCATTGACTCATGACTTCATTTCTCTTTCAATCTATCTAATCTCTTATGATTGACTAACTGACCAAAATGATTTATACAATACCCAATGGCATCAATTTTCCTAGATTTACAATCTAAAACTTCGGTTCTTTCTTTTACTCTAAATGTTTCTTTTTGTTTTGTTTGAAATAGAATCGATTTCCATGAGGGAAAAGAAAAATAAAGTTATTGATCAGTTCAGATCAGTTATTGATCATCAGATTAAGCCAAAGATTACCAAAGAAGGGAAAAATAAAATCGGATAAAGAGAATAAATATAAAGAAAATGATGACATCAGATTTGGAAAAAGAATTTTTCTTTCAAAACTTTCCCTCGGAAATGTTTTCCTTTCTCATTCTCTTTTAATTCATTCACTGTTTCCCCCTCCCTTCCCTTTCCCTCGCTTCCCCTTCCTTCCCCATCCTTCCCCATCCTTCCCCGTCCTTCCCCTTCCTTCCACCATTGCTCATCCCGATAAGCAGCCTTTCCATCCAATAGAAACTATTTTAAGAATTTGTCTTTCGAGGAAATTTTTGACGAAAGTCGATCAACCAAATATGAGTCGAATGTCTAATGAAAAGCTAAAAGCAGTCGAGAATTCGAGAATTCGGTTCAATTTTTTGAAATGGAGTCAGATGAGCTTAGACAGAAAAATCTGGAATTAGAATTCAAAATGGAGGCCTGTTGCGTTTAGTTTTGAAGAAAAAAAGAAAGTTTTGAAGAAAAACTAAAAACTGAAAGAAAGAGGGGTGTATGAGTGGGCCTTGGGGTAAAAAAAAGGCTGAGAGGTGGTCCGGGGATCGATCGAGGGGAGAGGCTGCGACGCTCCTATCTGAATGTCCTCCCAGCTCCTTTTGCATTCATTCTCCGGTCTCATTTCCCCTTCATTTAAGTTTTCTATTTATCTGAGATCTGCGGCTAGAGATGGGCAAAAGGGGTCAATATATAGCCCTTTGCGGGTGATTTTCCCCTAAAAATGAGTTTAAACGATCAAATGGGTTTATTGTTTCAAAATCTCTTAAGTAAGGGAAACGACTTGGGTAATATGGGTGGATTTCAATGAACTTTGATAATAAATATGAAAATTTCATTGCAATACATTGCAATATTTTGAAATTGTTGCTGAGCGAGAAAATATAATTGCTGAAGAAAGTTTAGGGAATCAAGTCTATGAGAAAGATTTCTTCCAAATTGGGTGGGAAAATCGAAACTCGTTCCGTGATGGATGAGGTTGAATGAAAGCTAACAGGAAAAGCAAGAAGAAAAGGCAATAAGCCAAAAAAGCTTTGAAACTTACAAGTGACCTGCCCAGGGCAGTAAAACATTCGCCATAAAACATTCGCCTCATAAGGTTCATCATCGTAAAACTTGTAAAGAGACTTGACAAATCTTCAATCAAACAGATAATGAGATTAGGCTTTAATAGAGTAACTAGGTTAAGCCCAAAGTTTAGTACTTTAGAATAAGAGTTGAACTGGCTCAAGAATAGCAGTAGAAGCTGAAGATTGACAAGGCTGGGCTGATCAGATGCAGCTGGATTGAGCTACAGCGCTTGGATTTTCAATGAATATAATAGTACAAGTATAAGTTGTCAGAATCTTGTGAGAAAGTTTACAGGTTAAGGTTAAGTAGATTTGTAGATTTGATAGCAGAGGCTTAAAGAGGAATACTGTAGGATCTAAATTTCCGTAAGCTGGCTAAGTCAAGAAGGCAAGAAGGTAAGAAGGCAAGTAGGCAAGGAGGTAAGAAGGCAAGAAGGCAAGAAGGCAAGAAGGTAAGAAGGCAAGAAGGCCGGAAGAAGGCAAGAGAAAGTATCATTATAAAGATTACTGTATCTATAGAAGATCGACTCACCAGGTTGAACATCGGTGGTTGTAATGGTTGATGTTGGGGGTGAATGAGTGGTGGTGGAAGAGTGGGTAATGGTTGAGTACCACCGAGGAAACCCACTGGATTCCACATGGATGTTGGTGGAACAAATGCTGATGGTTGTGTCGTGCCGAGCATCACTTTCGATTTCTGCTCGATCCAAGTCGGCTCGGATTGTGCTCGCGGATGGATTGGGTGCCCCGTTTTTGGAGGAATACGATTAAGGTAGTCAATCGATCGATGAATTCCGTTTGTTTAACATTTTTGGTCAATGGGCAAAAAAGAGGTGAGCAAAGAGGTTTTGGATTAATATCAACGAACGCAAGCTTTATCAAAATCTCTATTAGAAAGACCTATTATTTTGCTGCAAAATGAAGAAATCATATGAAAATTTGTTTTTTAGTATTGTTAGTTTAATTTAACATTAGTTTAGTATTATAAAGTTTATATTCTATAGTTTTTTATCTAGGCATGAAGTCGGATAGTCAAAAACCCGAAGACACAATTTAAGCGTTTTTTTTTATTTACATAAACCGTTTGTTGTCAATGATTGTCAATGCCAATCTCAATGCCAATGTACTACGAGTGAAGGCTTCTTTATAGTGCCTATTTAGTTCCTATGAACCTCTTCAAAACTCTCTTGAAAGCTCTTTAAAGGCCTAGTTCCCAGAAAGCCCTATAAAGCTCATTGAAAACTCCTTTATAGTCCCTATTTAGGAATCTTTTCCTATTAGAAATCTTTTAGATCATGGAATCATTCTACTAGATTCAAACCTGGATTTATGCAAAAGTACAAAAGAATTCTTAATTGTATTAGGTGTCTGGCTGGCAGCCAAACCAATGCTTTCTCTAGACACCCTTTTCAGATTTTTATGTGTGTGGCTGTTTTTACACTCTAGATAATAGTAAAGAATACCTGAATTAGCATAAAATCTGACTCTCTATATTCACCGCTCGTTCTTTGACCGTCTTGAATCCCTGCATTCTCGGGAGTGAGGTTTAAAGGAGAATAGGAACTAAATAAGAACCGTAAAGGAGTTTTCAAGCAGCTTAGAAGGAGCTTTATAGGAACCCAGTAGGGACTATAAAGGAGCTTTCAAGCAGTTTTAAAGGAGCTTTATAGGAACTAAATAAGAGCTTCTAGGGAGTTTTCAGGATAATCTAAACAAGGCTTCAGGATAATCTAAGCAAGGCTTAATCAAGATTTTTGACTTCTAGGGAGCAAAGTATCGTACATGTTTCTATATTGCATACAGCATACTCCATTTTCTCTTCCTCGCACCTGAAATTTGAGGGATCCCACGAGATACGATGGCTCATCTGGCTGACGGCAAGGTTTGAGCTTTGCTATAAAAAAATGAAATACTAAAAACTAATCTCGTCAATATTTCATTTCTAAGAATGAGGAAGCTCATACGTTTATAAAAACAGAAAATAGAAAGTTGAAAAATTAAATGAAAGAGAGAAAATGAGAAAATCAATTAAGAGAACGCGATCTGAACGAAGCTCAACTCTGAACAACTAAGGCGCCTAGTTCTTCACTATGTCAACTGTGTTCAGAGTTGACGAGGCTGAATTTGTTCATAGTTGACAGCTAGGCGCCTTTGTTGTTAACATTTGACAAATAGGTTCTCTCAATTTTCAGAATCAATGATCATTTCAATTGCAGCTGGACTTTTTGTGATTCAGTGGTGTTACACCGTCGTCAAGAAAACCCTCTGAATTTGTGAAAATCAAGTCTGAGCCATATACGGGTGAGTTTTGAAGGTAAAACAACAACGACATTAATGATCAATGATCAATGATTGACAGAATATCAACAAATCTATAAAAAGCCTAACAAAATTATTAAAACCCTAGGGTTTAAGTTAGGTTAGGCTAAGAGTCGGCTGCACCAGGAAGAGACAAGCAGCTCAAAGCAGGGCTGGATGGGTCAAGCTAGATCAGGGCCTAGCTTTGTCTGGTTTACAGGGAATGTCAAGTTAAGCCTTTCCTGGTGGTAAATGGATCTAGCCGCAAAAGCTTGCAAATAATAATTTTTGGTTCGAAATAATGTGTTAACAATTCTCACCTACTCCCCACTCCAGCCGGTAGTCGTTTTCGCGGCCCCGAGGAGGCAAACCAGGCTGACCGCGTTGGCTTTCATCTCAATGCTGGTGACAAGTATCGATCCAAAGCAATGGTAACATGGACGAGGTACCTAATTTCATTTCAATGCTGGATGAGGTACCTAATTTCATCTCAATGCTCCTTTTCCTTCTTTTAGCTTGAAGTCCTCACGCAGAGCTCAAATGACCTCAAAATGACACTGCCGTTTGGAATCGGAATGCATCATGCCGGTTCCAAACCACTCCCCCACTCAAGTAGCCACACGAGAGGTCAATTGTTGAGGCGTCCACTCGGATCACTTTATCTTTGTCATTTCCCCATACTTTGATCAATTCATCGATCGATTGACTACCTTCATCGTATTCCTCCAAAAACGGGGCACCCAATCCATCCGCGAGCACAATCCGAGCCGACTTGGATCGAGCAGAAATCGAAAGTGATGCTCGGCACGGCACAACCACCAGCATTTGTTCTACCAACATCCATGTGGAATCCAGTGGGTTTCCTCGGTGGTACTCAACCATTACCCACTCTTCCACCACCACTCATTCACCCCCAACATCAACCATTACAACCACCGATGTTCAACCTGGTGAGTCGATCTTCTATAGATACAGTAATCTTTATAATGATACTTTTTCTTGCCTTCTTCCGGCCTTCTTGCCTTCTTACCTCCTTGCCTACTTGACTATAAACGAGACAAAAGTAAATTCTTCTTAGTACCTGATCCAAGTTGTGGAAGATAGCATTGCTATAGCCTAGCAGCCAAGTTGATGTTAATATTTAGGAAAATGTCATTAGGCGCTCTTACGCCCACTACATTAACGCTGGATGATTCCATTCCAGAAAAGAAAAACTCAGTACTTCTCTGAAGTGAGTCCCCTTTCCCTATTGCCCTCACTCCTCAAAAAGGATTGAACATCTACAGTTTGTTCTATTGCTGTTTTCTATTGCTTCTATCCTACATCTACAGTAGTAAATGATTGTAATGATGGTAATGATTGAAATTATGGTAATGATTTGCACAGATTTGCACGGATTTCTTTGTCCAACAATTCAAAAAAAGTAAAGGCAAAGGCAATGGAGATTAGAGTGATCAGCCTTGAGCCGTCTGAGATCAGCCTTGAACCGTCTGAGATCAGCCTTGAACCGTTGAACGGAAGTAATCGGGTTCTTTTTTGGGTGGGTTCGAATCTTCAATCGCGAAATGTTTATTTTTAACAATCAGATTTACAAATCGTTACAATATTTTGTTTATTTGCCACATCATAAAACTTGAATAAAATGAACAAAGCGCAATGTTTTCTAGTAAATAAAAGCATAACTAATACAGTAATTTCGGCAATGAAGATGCTTAGTCAACTAAATCAAAACTAAAATTATCAAATGTCAAACTAGCTCATAAACCTCTTTTATATGTACATTTGATTTGGGGGATTTGTAGCCCGTGGCAAAGATCAAACAAAAGGTAATAAAGAAATCAAGATGAGGAAAAGAATTTCCTGAAAAGAACTTGTAGCGCAAAAGCTTTTGAGATTATTCAACTCCATTCTGACGAGTGATTTGGATGACGCAAAATCTTTAGCTTTGCCAAGACAAAAAAACAACTTTGTAAACAACGGTAAAAAAAAGGCAGTGCAAAGCAAAGCAATAACTAATACAGTGATTTCGGCAATGAAGATGCTTAGTCAACTAAATCAAAACTAAAAATTTATCAAAAAATCATAGCGACATGTTTTCGTTGAGTCTTTGAACTTGAATATAAAAAGAAGAAGAAAATGAACAAGGTCACCTGTGCGGCGCAAATTTTTAGTAGTCAAATTCATATTTCTTTGAGAAAGAAATATTACAAAGCCTTACACTAATCTAAGCTTTTAGTACCGGAAGCATTTTCAGTATAAAAGCATTTTCAGTACTGAAGCATTTTCAGATCTCGTGGTGTAGTGGTTATCACATCTGTCTAACATACACAAGGTCGGCGGCAACTCAAAGAGAAAGTTTTGAAATGACGACTCAAAAGAGTCGTCATTTCAAAACTGAAAAACGTAATCATTATTCTCCCGATTGCTGTACATGTGAAAGAGAATACCGAAAGAGAATGTCTAACAAGAAAGACAAGAACATGACGGTAAAGATCTGCAATATTTCGCATTAGCTTCCCGCACAATTTTATTTGAAGGATGTCTAGCCATCTTCAGAGCACAATGATTTATATAGACTATTTTCTGAGGGCACTATTTTCTGATTTGAGGATCGCTTTTAGTGTTTGAAAAATGAAAATAGAGTCAGATTTGTGAAGAATTTTAATTTTCGGTAGGTTGAGTTGAGATTCGCTAGACTTTTAATTCTCGTATCCCCTTACAGAGATTAGAAACCCCTGGGGAGATCGAATTTTTCGTATCGAAGGTTGTCGAAAAGGTGTAGTATCCATCTGTCCAAAATAGTTTTGAAGCAAAATAATAATTAACCCCTAAAGATTTCCGGCTACATTTCAAGGAATTATAAAATATGAAAACCTCAAATGATCTAAAAGGTAAGTTACGTATGCTATAATATTAGAATCTACACAAAATTTGACTTTAGAAATGTTCTATTTGTTTCATAGACTTACCAATAAAAACCTAGATAAAATTAGGGTCAAAGTCGGATAAGCCTTCTACAAAGCCTTTTCAGTATTGAAAGCCTTTTTTTCAAATAAAATTTCAACTAAAATAGTTCTTTGTGTTCTAAATAGAATTCTTCTACCTCTAAATATAATTATTTTCTCCCAAAGATAGATCGGAAAAATGGCAGAATGAGTTGAATAGTTCCTATTTTTAGCTCCAGACCAGAGGTCTGGTGTAGTGGTTATCACATCTGTCTAACATACACAAGGTCGGCGGTTCGGCCCCGCCCGAGATCATTTTAATTTTTCAAATTTGTCCGCCAATCGCTTTGCTTTTTTAACTACCAGAGGTAGTTTTTGATAGTAATACGAAAAGGTGAACTAGATAGGCTGGTCAAATGACTTGAGCCATAGACCTATCAACGCAGAATTTTACGCTGATCCGAATTTGCTAAATAGCACTCTGTCAAAAGTTATGAGTATCCAAAGTTTTGTATGGGGTTTTAAAAACATCTCTCTTGTTAACAAATAACAAAGTAAGCTTCGGCAACAGCCTAAAAGCAAGTTGCCTGACTCGAGCCGACTTTTCCCACATTTAATGGGTAGAACTAACTGTAGATGTAGAGTTTTTGTGGCCCTTTTATCCCTGTCAATTTCCCAGCGGCCACTGCGGTCTCGTGGTGTAGTGGTTATCTCATTAAGCTGGGCTTTGAGCTGAAGAAGCTGGACCACCCAATGTTGATCTCATCGATGTCTTTGAGCTGTTCTTCTCCGCAGGGAATGTTGCCACCGTATAGTAGCCATATCGGGACTATACGGGGCATCAGGAAGCACTTTGCCACTCTAACTCTTCGAGTTTTCCTGAGCCTTCCTTTCCTTGCTTAATTCCTTGTATCTATGAATGAAATTGAACGCCTTTTTGGCGCGGGTTAAAAACATCACTTGAGTTTATGAGCAGATTTTTGAAATAAGGCCTCTATTAATGTGCTCAAACGTTCTTATTTCAGGAATGAGACGTCGATCGGTTGGTTCGTTTCCTTTTGTGATGAGGCGCGCAAGCTGAAACCGGATTTTGTTAACTTTTAAAAGACTGTTTCACCATCATGTACAGAGGTGCCTAAGTATGGTTACAAGGTTGTAACATCGATTTAAGAAACTGCTTGATTTTATTTCTTGACTCTAGCTAAAACTGCAAGGAATTTTCGAGAATAAAAATTGAATTGATTGAAAAATTGATGGCCCTGTTGTGAACTTCTTTCTCCATTTCTATCACTGTTTTAAAACTACATTCCATAAATTCTTATAGCTAAGTTTTCCTTGTTATAAAGTAATTTCAACCAACCATGTGTTATTTGAGGTCAGCCTCACGTTCCCAATAGAAACCCACTTTTGAAAGCCCTAAATTGATTAACGATTTATTTAACGATTAACGACCTTGTGTATGTTAGATAGATGTGAAAACCACTACACCACGAGACCTCTGGTCTGAGCTAAAAATAGGAACTATTCAACTCATTCTGCCATTTTTCCACAAAACTACCTTTTTAAGATCAGTTTTTGACAGATGTGGCCCTTTAGCCCTGTCAATTTCCGAGCGGCTACTGCGGACCCGTGGTGTAGTGGTTATCTCATTAAGCGGGCTTTGAGTTGAAGAAGCACCACCAAATTGTTGATCTCATCGATGTCTTTGAGCTGTTCTTCTCGCAGAGAATGTTCCATAGTCCGAAATAAGTTATAATTGTCTTGATGGCCCTGTTGTGAACTTTTTCTCCATTTCTATCACTGTTTTAAAACTACATTCCATAAATTCTTATAGCTAAGTTTTTTTTAATTCCTTTGTTATAAAGTGATTTTCAACCAACCATGTGCTCTTTGAGATGTGCCTCACGTTCCCAATAGAGACCCACTTTGAAAGCCCTAAATTGATTAACGATTTTAAACTCGACGGCTTGTTGAGCTTTACTTCATGATTAGATTTTTAGTATTAACTGACGATAATCTCTAAAACGAATCACTTTTTGTAGAGTTGATTTGCTACACTTAATTTAATCTCATTTTAAGAGATGGGAAGATGAAAACAACGCACACCGGAAGCATATCTCGACCCAACATGCTGGTCATAAATATTTGGCAAAAAGTTTCGAAGACACAGGACGCATCCCTAATCAGTTTGTCTTCAAAAATTTCCACGTGCTCACTTGTCCCTCTCAGCTCACGTTTTTGATCGTTTGAATCCGATTTTTTGTTTTAGGTTGTTATCATTCCAGCTTCCATATAAATAGTATTCGGACTGACAAGGATTTCTGATCTGCCATCAGTTCACAGCTTCTAACACATACGTCTTCTCTCCTCTTGTCTTGCTCTTCTCTTCGCCGTTCTTCTCTTAAAGCCCTTTTATCCCTATTTAGCTTTTTAGAAAGCTCCCTTTAAAGCTCCTTCTTTATCGTCCTTATTTAGTTCCTAGCTCTAACTAGCTCTAACACGGTTCCAATACCAGTAGATTCTGGCTTTATTCTTTCTACAAGTTGAATTTCAATGGAAAACCAGTAGATCTGGCTTCATTCTTTTACAAGGTAAAATCCACAGGAAAAACCAGCAGATCTGGCTTCATTCTTTTACAAGGTAAAATCTACAGGAAACCAGCAGATCTGGCTTCATTCTTTTTACAAGGTAAAATCCACAGGAAAACCAGTAGATCTGGCTTCATTCTTTTTACAAGGTAGAATCCACAGGAAAACCAGTAGATTCTGGCTTTATTCTTTTTACAAGGTAAAATCCACAGCAAAACCAGCAGATTCTGGCTTTATTCTTTTTACAAGGTAAAATCCACAGGAAAACCAGTAGATTCTGGCTTTATTCTTT